CAAAATATTGCTTCAGACAGAAATAGAAGCGTACTGTGAGGAATGTATAAAAGAAGGTAGTCCTTAATGCCCCAATCTTCCAAGCTTCAAATATAAAGTTTGCAGCAACACCTTAAACTGAATCCAGAAGACAAACCAACAGTTAGTTAAACAGACATATACTGATCAAAATGCCTCCCCCTCACCAGCAATCAGACTGCTGCATTTCATATCCACTGTGATTTTCGGACATTTTTCAAGGGAAGCACTACTTAGAGTGTATTACAGCAGTCTAATCAGAACTAAAGCATGAATGACTGGGAGTGGTCATAGTTTAGTGACAAAATATGGCAAGCTAATTAGTAGCTGCTTCATAAGTTTTTAGAAAGCTGAATTTCTTTTCTGTATGTCATGGTTATTAGAAAGTCTACAACAACACTATGCATTTCTTGCCTGATGAAATCCACTTATGTGTGATTTTCTTTTTTAACAGATCTGATAAGTGATAGTGAGGACAGGAATTTGTCAATAAATTATATCATACTGGTAACATAGTAACAAAGCAAAAATAAGTTCTGCCTAAAGGGCACAATGACAACCCTTTACTAGGGTTAAATTCAATAGTAGTTATTTTTAATAGTTAAAAAAAGCAAAAGAGAAGAAATAAGATCTGATTTATCCAACAAAGAGAAGGCAACGTCTTTCTAATAACACTTACATGTTATTACTGATACAGGTCAGATCTAATTGATCTCATAATATTTTATTTCAGATAAAGTTAGTAGCTGTATCTTTTGTTTTTTATTCTAATATAAATGATAGAACTCAGCCTAGGTGGAGATTTCATATTGGGAGGGCTTTAATGTTTTGGTTCTTGCTGGAGTCCCAGTTGAAATCAATTTGTTTCAAGAGATCACTTCTGGAAGTGTAAATAGCAGGGCAAAAATAGTTAATTTGGAATAGGATCCTCAAGAGGTCAAACTATAAATCAGTGGTTCTTAAACTGGGGATATCCTGGGGGGGGGGGAATAATGGAGCAATTTGTAATTGCTAAACAATAGAGCCTGTTTTTTTGGGGGGGGGTAATGACATTGTTTGAGACTGGGAAAAGGGGTAATTGGGTCAAACAATTTAAGAACCACTGCTACAAATCCTTTGTATCCCCACCTGGGGATCTGAATCTAGATTGTAGCAGCTCCTTATCTCTGTGGCTGAATTGGTGGTGGGGTTCTTGTCTGATGGTCCTGGGGGACTTCAACCTGCCTTCTTTGGGCCTGGAGTTGGTGATGGCTTGGCAGTTCTCCATCACAGCAACCATGGAGTTGATCCAGCTTATTAAGTGCCCCACTCATAGTGGATATCACACTTTACATCTAGTTTTTGTCTCGCAACAATGGCAACATGCTCTAATGTTGGGGGATGTTGCCATGGACAGATCACTCCCTCTTGGCCCTGCAGTTCTCTGTAACCACCCACCGCTGATGGACCCTATGGAGCTTCAGAGGGAACTTGGGGTTATTCCCAAAGCTCTGGTGCATGATTCAGCCAGGACCTTAGTCACAGCCTGGAATGAGCATGCAATGACAGCCTTGGGCGAGACAGCACTTATGTGGACTCTGTGACTGTGAATCCCATAGAATCCTCTGGCTTATTGTGGAGCTCCAGGAGAGTGATTTAAGATGTGCCTAGAATACTGCTGGAGAAGGTCAGAACAAATGTGAGCCACCCAGGGTTAAGTTGTATAAAATGGGCAGCCATAAAAATCTTTTAAATAAATAAATAAATACACTTAAACTAAATGAAGAGTAGACAGCACTATCTTTCAGATATTGGTTAGGATTTACAGAATTTGTAAGAGCAGAGTCAAAACAAAACAGAACAACAACAAAAAGAGAATAAATGTATGTGGAACTTAGAGAAGATGTGCAGTTTATCTAAGAGAAGCAGAACATTTTCTTAAATGAGCCTTACTGCATCTCTCAAGCCTTTGAAATGTTACCATCAGAGTGGAGAGAATGAAGGATTGGTGTGATTAGTATGATAGGATAAATCCTTATTGCTACACACTGGCAAGGACCCCACTGATATTATTAAAACTCCAACTATTGATGAAGGGCAGCTGTCCCTTCCACCAGCTCCTTCTCCAGCCTTCTCACTTTCTTCTTCCTTTTTCCCATTTGGTTCATCCTGGTGATGATCATGCTTATAAACAGTAACAGCAATCATTGTGAGTTTCTTTGTCCCTTCTAGTTCACCAATTATGGCTGGTTTAACTAATCCTTTATTTCTTCCTCACCATCCAGTCCCATCTAATCCATCTCAGAGAATAAGAACAGATAGAAAAGTAAAGGTCAACTGAACTGGCTACTCTTCTTCACTGTTACTATCAAATTTAAGCTGATGAATAGAAAATAGGAAGTAGTAGCAAAAGAGAAGGGACTTAAGTAAGCTCCAGGTAGAGAGTTGATTTTTTACTGAGTAGAGAGTTCAGTTGAGGGGGGAGGGGGACATAGTTGAATTCTTGCTTAGTTCTCACTATTAGAGAGAAATCAAGTAAGCTGGATTAACATTCTTTACTGTGTGAGAGAGATAAATACACCTAAGAGGTATTTTTAGCCTGAATGGTGAAGAAGCTGCATTAAAAGCAACTTTGAGAGTTCAGTGCTCTTTCAGAATCTGAACCAGGATTAGCAGTTATGCTAATGAGAAGAAGTATTTTTGGCTTGTTAGTTAGCTAGGTGCCATCAAGTCTAGTTCACTCCTGGTGAATGTATGGATAAATGATTATCATCTTGACCTATTCTCAATAATAAGTCACTATCTGTCTATTCTTGACCCCAAGAAAGAAAACCATCTATCATCTTTATTTCTTTGTTATTCACGGTACATTCACAAAACATGTAGACTGATATTACCTTTGTCTTCTTTAGTATCAACCTATATTTTTCCCTTTTATTTTCATTAGAAACTTTTCTATATGTTGTTTACCTCTGATTAAGAAAGTGGTATAGGTACAGATATAGATATATGAATCAGAATCTACAACATATACATAGATGTGGGACAAAAATCAGTTTCTATTCTTTTTCACTTAAACTAAACTAAACCTTGTAGTGGTGCCACAGATTATTTATCATTTCAGAAAGTGGACAGCACCAAACAGTTGATTACAGTAGATATAAATGTGTATTGACAGTTACTGGATTAAACTGTGGGTTCAACTATTCTTTCTATTTAATACTTTGTTCTTATTTCTACTAAACTATATTTACTTTCTAGGATAGAAACTCAAGACATATGAATGTTGCTGAAATTTAGCAAGTTTGATCAAAGGGACATTAAGAGGTATTTCAGAGTTTTGACCATTGGTGCATCTAGTTTCAATTATAATACCTACACTGACTCACAGTGATTTCCAGGGTTTCAGACTAGAGAATCTTTTTCAGCCCCAAGTGCACATGCCAAATGATGAACCTGAATCTTTTGCATATAATTAATGCATTTGAGTTCCTTTGAAAATAGATGTATAGAATTACAAATCATCATAACTGTTATCACTGTTAAGATATGTGTTTGTATGTTTGTATTTGTCATCAAATGGATATCAGGTTAGTCAGTTAATTGATTAAAGCTCATGCAATTGTTTAAGATTTCTTTGATAGGGTGAATATGCTATTATCCAGAAAGTAAGATTAGATGCTAACTTCTGTTAGTGACTTCTCTCACTGGAGGCTGATGAATATTATACAGTTAGAATACTGTGGATTGGATCCAAAGGTGCAGTTTTGCATGCAAATACGTATTTTGCTCATGAAAGCCCCCTTATTTCTTAATTATGTACATTAGACTGCTAAGAAGGAAAGTGTAGACAAATTCAAGTATGTCCCACTTCTACTGCTTAGAATCTTCATAACATAAAGGTTCTGTAAATTCTTGTATAAGGTTTTGTACAAATATTTTCTGAACCACACTAGTAAGTTTGTTTTTTCTTTTAGCTCAGGGTATTTTGAATTTGACCTATAGGAAATGGATCCATATATATAGGTCAAATGGATCCATTTCCTATAGGTCAAATTCAAAAT